TGGAAAAACTAGAAAGGGTAAGGTGATAAATGAAGTCATTTGAAGGACCTAGGAGTATAACAGTATTCCAGTCATTGTTCATGTTGATCTTTGTATTAAGAAATGTAAGAGTTGAGATTTATCTCTTTTGTGGTCCTCACAAATATGTCCTGTACCAAGGTCCAATATTATGTTTTAGGTCTATGGTGTAATCATCCATGGAGTGTCGAAATTTGATGTTTCTTTTCTTTTTTTTTTTTTAAAGGTTAATCATCTTCTGAATTTGTGGGTGTTGATTTATGTTGGATTTTTTTTTTCTTTTTTACAAATGAGAATTGTCCTTTCTCAAGGTATTAGAGGTTCATATTTAAGGCAGATTCTCAGTGTGGTTCATCAGTTATATTTTGGGGTATTTTAGTATTACTCAACACTTAAATGGAACTTGTTACTAACCATGGAAAATGAAATAAATAGATAAGACAAATAAACAACATACCTAGCCTAACTACTTCAAGAGCCCTACCTTTTCTAATCGGTTGATGATATGCAATGCTATTCTTTTTCTCTTATTGATGTACAAATTTATCCATCATTGATTAACAGAGAAAAGAAAGGTTCTCCTTTTATTGCTACCAATAAAGAACTCTTACATTATAAATTGCCTTTTTTTATTTTACCATCTCATCAAAAGAAGAAAAGTTCTACTATAATAACATTTTTCTCTATTGTTACAAGCTTTTGTTTGCAACTTTGCATTATCCATCCATTTCTTATTTCCTTAAAGATTAGTTATTGATTTTAATATTATAAATACAGGTTATGTGTAGAGGAGGTTGACATGAAAGCAAGTGCAGAGCTCTCAGATATCATCTTCAGCAAGGTCTGTTGATACAACCTACTCCAAATATGCTTCTTTAATTTATGACTAGTTGCTTTTGTGGTAATAGTGGGGGAATAAAGTGTCAATTCTGGCATATATCTGTGATTGTACATGTTCCATGTTGGAGAATTGGTCCATTCTTGCAAGTTGCATCAACAGTAAAGCAGTACCTAGTGGAGGATAACCGGCCCCAATTGAGGGCTTTTTATCAATACACCTGGGTAAGGAAAAAATAGCAGGAACTTTATTGACCAAGATAACCCTGCTGTTCTGTCCTTTACCAAAGCATATTGACAAAAAATGCCCTTAAATGGTTCTAGTTTCTGCTAAGTGCTAACATCCTCTTCCAACTCCACCCCCCCCCAACACACACACACACACAGAATTCCTTTCTTTAGCATGCTTCTCTTACCTGTTGTAGCGGCCACACAATTTGCTTGACAGAATGTGAACATTCTTGCCTATGGAACTAATGGTAATTCATATCATCTGACTTTTACTTATTAGGCATCACCACCTGTCTACTCTGTTTCCCCTCCTGTCCGTGCAAGCAACCCTCTTATTCAAGATGCCCGGTTCCGCGAACAGAGAATCTCTCCGAGCCCTATTCGAATTGAAGGCTTCTGTACAGCTGTTGATAGGGCCCAAAGGAGGCAAAGCATCCTGACAGTGGCTTGAAACAATTTTTCTATCCACCTACTAATCCATGTATGAGAGACAGCAGGTTTTTGCAAATCCAAGTTGTGCAGGTTTTATGATCATGTACAGAGTTCATTTTAAGTTAAAGTGTCCTTTATTGCACCATGGAGTTGGTTTCGGTCTTGGGCGTCTTGTACATAAGGCTGTCTCTGGCTGGTAGGTTCTCCGTATACATAAAACAAAGAAATGCATCTGGTTGAGATGCAAAGGCTTGCCAAATAAAATTTTTGGATTTTGGGCTCAGATTGGTGCATCTTATTGTTAGGTTTCGTTCTGTTTCCTACTGTGGAATTCATTCTTCGTTTCTCTTTCTATGTTGGTCTCTCTCTCTCTCTCTCTCACGCACACACACTGACACACACGCACAGGAATCCAACTTCTTGGCTCATCAACTGTTTGGTTCCTCTGGCCTGGGGTTAGGTGAAAGAAATTGTTATGTTACAAGCTTGCAATATTGATACAAAATACTTGGTAAAAATTAAATTATCCTATAAAGATCAATGAAAACTAATACAATATTATCCCATGAAGAAAAAAAAAAAGGAAAGACAAGGATGGACTTAAATTCAACTTGAAGTTACAATGGGATACATCATCTCCTGTACTCTTTATTCTGTCTTACTGATTTAAAACGAGGATGACCGGATTTGAAATTGGTGCTACCAAATTTCAGAGGTACAATTTGTTGCAGGTATGCTTTGCCAGGAAAGTTTCTCTTGTCGTTCCGGAGTGCTTGTAGCTCTGGTAACCAAAAGGCAACGTATTCACCTTCAGGGTCATAAGTTTGTGCCTGAAAGAGGAAAAACTAGTGTCAGATCAGAGTCTGGTGGTTGGAGATTTCCTGTAAAGGATGAGTGACTGAATATCTAAAACATGATTTGAGCAAAATGTGTCTAGGAGGCTGAGCAAATCGAGAAAACATGGCCTTGTGGACGTCTGTGGAAAAGTTTATTATACCATTAGGATAGTTCAATTTTTGCTTTTTTTTTTTTAAATTCTGACATTATATACCTGCAAAAACTGTTGCTTCTTGTGAAATGAAAAATGGCATTCATCCTTATTAATGGCTGTTCAGTTATGTAAAATCCATAGTGTAGGACTCTGACATGGGCAATCATCAATGTTGGAGAGTCTATACAATATTGGTGGCAACAAGAATTGGAATTAGATTTTCAAAAACTGAAGGCCATTTTTTATTTAAGTTTCACCCAATCAAGCAATCATGTGTCCTGTACGAATTTGGAAAATCATGTTCAAAGTATATTCCCACTTGAAAGTATGCCTCTCCCCTACAAAAACTGGTCTGCTTGGTTTGCGGTGAGAATTGGAATAAAAAATTGGAATTGGAATTGCCTTATTCCCCATTCCCCCCGCCCTCATTTGGTTCAGATAGGGTCCAAAGTATCAACACGTACCGACCCATATCGTCCGATAAGTATTGTGCCGGTGGCTTCCCGATATGCCCCTACAGGGGTTGTATCAGGTCAGCCACTGGTTCAGAGGGTAGCTGGGCCTTAAACCGGCCCCTCTGAACCGATTTCAAAAAAAAAAGTAAAACATAAAAAAAAAAGCTTCGATATTTAGAAACTTGGGTTCAGATGGGAATTGGAATCAAATGAGGGAACGCCATTCCACCCAACCAAACAGCTGGGCAGACCTCTTTTCCCACAAACCAAATGGACACTAGAGATTTTAATATCAAGATTTTACAAGCCAAGTTTGTAATTTTATAAAAGCTGAGATTTGGTGTGAGAAACAGAAAATTTTGTAACTTTTTGGTTCATGGCCTGATTTTGTAACTCATTAATAATATTTTCAGAGTTTACTAGTTACGCTAAATATCTTCAGTAGTAGATATCAATGTTCTTCAACAAAGATGTTAATGCACTTCAGTTCCCAAAACGTTCTATTGATCTAAAAGAAAATATGAATATCTGGTTTACTTACTTGCTTTGGAATACTGAAGTAGCGGTCCTCTCTTGGGTCATTTCCTACACCTATTAAGAAGGAAGAAGAATGATTTTGGCACAGAGAATTTGAAATGCAATAATTAAGAGAAAATACACAAAATATCTTACTTTTTAATCACCATTGCACAGAATCAAAAAGCGAGTTATTGATGAAACTTATGGCCTTTATATTAAGGACAAAGCACAAAAAATTTCAAACAATGACCAGGAGAATTGCAGGGAAGGGATTCAGAGTCAGTTTCCCATCACTGGAAAATCAAGTGAGCAAAATCCAAGAATAAGAGGATCCCAGGTACTCATCGAACGGGAAATTAACTAACCATAAATCGGATGGATAACCTCCAGGCAAATAGGGTTATACACATGAACTGATGATAAAATGGTGGCATATGCAAGCAGACGTGAGTGCAAAACTTCCATACAATGATAAAGATTCCTTCAGTGTAAAAGGTGGCAGAAGGAAGTCATTTAGTATTAACTATTAAGTTACCATCACTCAGAAATCAAGTTTAAAATCCAAATACAAGTAGCATATAGATATTAATCTTTATTCCTTCAGTGTAAAAGGTGGCAGAAGGAAGTCATTTAGTATTAACTACTAAGTTACCATCACTCAGAAATCAAGTTTAAAATCCAAATACAAGTAGTATATAGATATTAATAAAAGTATAAAACTCATTTATAAATATACAAGTTAATAGTTATTTCTAATCACATGATATGTATATACATGAGCAATTATGCTCATGCATTAGTGGGTATAAAAAGCATTTATCAATATATAAGTGCTTCTGTAACAATAATATTTGTCAATGTATAAACAATCAAGTATACATATAAATGGTGAATGACATCAAGATATAGATGAAGCATGAATGACTCACCTGCACCATAGGTCCAATTTCCATAATTTGAACATGGATCATAATCTAAGAGGTAAGTCTCAAACCATTCAGCTCCCATACGCCAGTCAATGCCCATGTCCCGGACAAGGAAAGAACAAACAATCTGTATAATTTTCAGGAGTTTTGTTTATGTTAAATTATTTTTGAGCCATTCTTGTTGGTATGGCTGAGTTTGGAAGGAGTACAAATGCAAATATGTACAGTGCAAATACATACAAAATAATACAAAATACAAGGTTTTGCACTCTACATATTTGTATTTGTACTCCTTCCAAACTCAGCCCATGAAACAAAACCTCTCCCCATAGGTTGATAGATGAAAATTACAAGTTTCATGTAAAAACCTTTGATTTTCTAGTAATTAGAATTAATTCAGCTTTGAAAAATGTTGGGCATCTTGAATAATTTTCAGATAAAATTTTAAAGTAAAGTTTTTGTCAATTTGTTCCATAATGCAGAAAATTTTCCTTTGAAAACAAAAATATTTCAACATTCAATTTAGGATTACCTGTCTTCCTCGATTTGACATGAAACCAGTGGTCGTTAGTTCTTTCATATTTGCATCTATCAGAGGGTAACTACAATTCACAAAGTCCATCCATTAGTGTGATGGATCAAATATAAGACTTCCAAACTTTACAAACAAAATTAAGATGAAGAGAACTATTAGTAAAAGAGTGGCATACCCTGTGCGGCCTTCTTTCCAGGCTTCAAACAAGTTCTGATCTTGGCTCCACTTAGATGCCACATTTCTTGGGCCACCTGAAAACATATCAACATACACTGTAAGTGCTTTTCTCCATTATATATGTTGGTTACGTTGTAAAATTTTAAACTTGAATATTGCTTTCAGTTACCTAAATGAAAAATAGAATTTCCATATTTGATAGATAGGAACCTGAAATAATCTCTCCAGATCAATTCAAATAGAACCCTGAAACAATGACTACTGAATCAGCAGAGTTGAATAAAGGTCAATTCAACATAAACATGGAAGAGTAGAAGACAACATCTTTACACAAATGTACGTCAGACACCTCAAAGTATTCATTTAACTAAAATTTGACAATAACATTGATGGTGAAATCAATACCAGTATGTTGAGTTATTTGCTTCCCTCTCCTTTTCAAATCTCTTTACCTAAATAAATGAAATGGAACCCTCTAATAATAAGCTTACATCTGCTTATATACGATAGGGGTTACATGATAAACTAGTGCAAAGGATCGATAGACCTTACCAACCTCTTCATGTACAAAACGTGGAGATAAACATCCAAAAGCAAGCCATGGGGAGAACTTTGTTGAGTAATCAGGTCCTAACATTCCATTTCTTATCTCTTTGTAAACCCTTAACAAATCCTAATGCCATACAGAATATTAATACCATATTATTGAAGTGATAACTGATAAGGCAAAACCAAGATACTAGATGTTACATTGTAAGAGAACACCCAAGCTGAAAATTTCAGAAAGCACTGTCGTCACCCTTTAACACATTAATGGCCTTGTTAAATTTTACTAGCCTTGTTTATTTTGGAGGAGACCAAATATAGCTAATTTAGCATTTTATAATATCCTTGCCATATTTATCATCTTTTTTATCTTTCAAAAGTTCATGCATCATAAAAAGCAGATATATTATTCCCATAATATTTACACAAAAAATATATATCTAAATATGCAGTTTATACAAATAAGCATGAGAAAACAACTCAAAAAAGTATCCTTGCCTTTTTCCAGAAGTATTCAATCACTCTTCCCATTGCTGCACTTTCACCACCAATGAAATACATTCCTTTTTCTCTCTGCATCAAAGACATAACAAGAAGTCAAATTCTTGTCTCCTAATTCTCATTGTTAATTAAGTCAATTTGATTAGACAATTAGAAGCAAGCTACTGAATAAATAATGCATCATGCAACTATTAACCAGATAAAGATATAGGAAAGAAAGAAAAAGCACATTAACTTGCCTTTCCCTGATGGAGTCCAAGCTCATGAATTGAGGGGATAGATCCCCATCCACCAAATTCATCCAAGCTGCCACTTGGAAGTGGTCCAAGCATTGTTGGAAGCTTGTAGCAACCTCGAATTGTACTCTTGGATTCAACAGACTGTAAGTTGGGTGCATCAACAGAGATTTCATTTAACTCTCTTTTCATCAGAGCATGGATTACTGTGCATGTTTTCAAGACAACTTTCAACAAAGCAGACATGATTCTGAGCTTTACCTTACGAAATTGGGTATATACATCTGGTAAACTGTCTGGGTTAAATGGGAGATCACTAATATGGTACATAGTACTCCCCCATATGAGTTGCAACTTTGGGTTTTTGGCATTTTGATTGCCAGATACTCCTGGTAACTCCATACGTTGTAGACCTTTGCTCACAAGTCTCTCAACATTTAACTCTTCACTGCAAGTTTCTTTATGGGCATAAACCTGATATACCATAATATTTGATCAGAAAGCCTCAAGATTTGCTTTCGTAACAACTGATTTGATCATAGCACAAGTTCTAAAAGAGAGTTGAATATAGAATAATGTCCATGTCTAGCTTAAATCGAAGTGAAAAATGAAAAAAAAAAAGTCCTTAACTGTGTGGGCTCCAAAAGCTTTTGCAACTGAAGGAAGAATATCCTCAGGTTTTCCATGCTGTATGAGCAAGTTCAAACCGTGTTTCATCAGATTCTTTTTCAAGTCAGCCAAGCACTCTATCAAAAACTGTGCTCTGAAAGCTGCCAAGAAAATCAAACAGTGCAACATCTATGAATGAAAGGATTACCTTACATAAATATATGGAATATATGTACAAAAGCCATTATTCATGCAGCAAAAACAATTTTATAAACTTCAAAAAGTTTGACTCAAATGTAACACATAATTGCCATAGCTTTAGTTAATATTATTGTATGGCATACAGGACATTGTAATGCAAAGAGAATCAAATGTAAGGCAGGGGAAACAACACCCATCTATTCAAATTTTCAACATTGGTTCATGCTAAAGTTGAAAGAAGTACAGTCATTGTGGTGGACCAGGTCAAAATCCTAAAACCTAGGTAGTTCTAATGTTGTGTAAGTCCTAAATATCATCATATATCCTCTGGCAAGATAAAGTGACTCAGATAGCTCGACATGGTTTTTGCCTGCAACCCATTTTTAGAATTTAGTTCTTTACAAACATAGCTACTCAGTGGAAATTGGACTAAGTTGGTTAACCTGAGATAGGTTTAAACAATCTTAAGGAGATCCTGTAAGGGGTTTATACTTCTGTTTATACATAGAACTATGGGTCAATTTTTCTTACTATGAATCTCATGGAGATATTATATGTAATTTCTTCACAGATTTGAAGGTTCATTTTCCACACCACTTGATTTTATTTTTCATTTTTCCTTTCCCTGTTTTCTGTACAAATGTTGGGGAGTTATTGTCTATTGAACATTTCATTGGTAAGATTACAAACGCTCATTATAATGATTTGCTGGAATTTGCAATTTGGTCAATCCTGCTCCTCTGGATACCAAGACACATTGCTAGCAATGGCCCTGTATTGCATCCCAAATGAGGATGATAAAGTATTGTTTTTCCAATGAAACACAATAAAAGCACATATTTGGGTCCTCAAAGTTTAACAACAATTTAAATTGCACTAATTAGCGAAAATAATCAATAATCTCACCTTACAAATTCTCCGAATTGCAAATCGTAAAAACTGCAAATAATTCAATACTGTGCAGCATTTCTAACAAATTCGAGAGCAGAAGTAACAACTTCCATAGAAGCTCAAAATCACTTGGCAAACTAAGGGATCCATTTACAGAATCAATAAACCAAACCAGAACTATCCAAGTAAAATTCAATCAGAAACCCTTTTCATCTAAATCACTATAACATAGTCTAGTGAGGCAGTGGGATTATCTTCTAGATAGAAATCATGAAAATTCTTAGCTTCTTGCACTACTTCAACATATGGAATACAACCAGATACCTCCAGTTTTAGGGAATCCAAAGTAATGGGTTGTTCCGAAGAGCCGAGGGTCGACGCAATATACCGGCAAGACAGCCTCTGAGGAAGCCCAAGCTCGATACAAGGCCTCATTGTCCAGTATCCTCAAATCATTCCTAAACCAGACAATGGAAACCCCAGAACCGTTTCTCTGCAACTTTGGAGAAGAGTACCTCTGAAATGTTGCATCGGCAATACGATCGATTTCACTGGAGTCTAACCCCGGCACCTGAAAGGTTACCTTGGAACCCAATTTGGGTTCAGATTGCGAAGCAGAACTCATGCTTTGGGACTGATAAGAGAGACGAAATTGAGTAGAAAAGAAGAGATTCGAGGTGGGTTTTTGTGGGAAAGTGAGACTTCTCAAGGGGAGAGAAAGTGAGAGGAAAACGGTCATAGTGTTGGATTTTTGTAGAAAGAAGACGAGACACAGAGTCGACTTGAAAAGGTGTTGTTTGATAGGTGACACGTAGGTTCGCAGCTGTGATGACGTGGCATTTTGTTAACCAACAAAACTATCTTACTGTTGTATAAATGCTGTCCACAAGATTTGGATTCCAGTCTCCACTGGAGATGACCACGAGAGACACAATAGCCTACCAGCGGTGTTATGGTACACATTAGGGGTGAGCAGGGGCCGGTTCGGTTTCGTTCCAGCACAAACTGGAACCTATTCTATAGGATTGGTTTTAGGTTTTTGGAATCAGAATCTATCTTGGTTTTAGGTTTTTGGAATCAGAATCTATCTTGTGAATGTTAGTTTTAGCCTTGATGGTTCCGGGGTTGGTTATAAAATTTATCTATGAAATCTATACTTTTTTACTCTCTCCCTTCACAAAAAAAAAAAAACTTATTTTTTAAAAGTTTGATTTTTAATAAATATAATAATATATAGTTTAAAACTTATATTATCTTTATTGATTAAATTGGATAACTTAATATGTAGATTATCATGGTTAAAAACATATAAATTAAATTTAAATTTTATAAATATTACCTTTCTAACACATTCAAATATTAAAATCTATACTATATATAAAAGTGTAGATGCAAAGTCAAAGTTTTCTTTGAATTAAAGTTACCTTCTATTCTTTTGTTTGAAATATAGTATAAAAGTCATTTTATTACACCTTTAATCACTACTAAAATGTCCATATTTGTCTATTTAGTCAATCTCTAATTGTAAAGGTTAAAAATGTAACTTCAATTATTACTTTCCACTTCATTTAATCTCCTCTCATTAACTCTTATACTTAAGGTATTAACTCCCATTTTATCTTATAAAATCTTATATTTAACTTATTTTTTCACCGATAAATGCTACTAACTAGATCTATGTCAATATTTTTAACAATATAAACACATATATTTTAAAATTGACTAAAAAACAAAAACATTCTTTATCAAAGTGGTGGCTAAGCAATTTAACCATCCAAATCAAATTGATCAACCTATTTAGTCATAGCTAGGTAATAAAATTTTTAAAATATAAATAAATATGAAAAATTACAAAAATGTAAAAAATGTAAACACATATATGATATGTTTGTTAATCAAATTAAAAAAATAAGTGTAATAAATAAGAATTATTTTTATTCATGATGAAAATGAAATAGATAATCTAAACACAAAAATAAAATTATTTTACTATTTGGCAAAGATCAATAGTTCAACTTTTAGGTATAAATAATAAAAATTAATAAAACAAAAAAATACATAAATTTTTCAAAAATACATTCAGGTACATGTATAATATTATATAATTTTCACATTAAACAAAATGTAAGTGTGACATATCAGAATTATTTTTATGCACAAAATTACAAAAATTGATGAACACATCTATAATTCTATATTTATACTACTATTAAAAATATTAATAAGATTGTGGAACTTTTGGCTAAGTACCCTTTCTTGAAATTTGTTCCTATTTAATTGCGAGATTTAAATTATAAATTTAGTTGCTACTTTTCACCTCATTTAATTCTTTTTATTTAAATCTTACATTTCTTTAATAAGTCAATAAAAAATAGATACATCAAAAAGATAAAATATTACAAAAAGAAGAATCTAATCAAGTAGGTAGGCCTGTCAATGATACTTGAAACTTCACAACTCGATCCGACTATCACATATTTGAATGAGGTATTTATGTAATTAGATTTATATTTTGCAATTTGCGTTAATAATAAAAAACAAAAAACAAAATATATATATTTATAAAAATTTTTATATACATTATTACAATCATAATTATCATTTAGAATTGTCATGTGCACGCTTGCTAGTGAAAACAAATGATCAAATCACTTAAGTAATTCAATGGTCAAGTGATACCATGGCCTTTATAACCATGAATGCTTGGATTCAAATCTTCACATCCCCAGAAGTATTTAGGGGTTTATTTCAAGGCAAGTTCCAGCAAGGTTTGTTCCACTAATGCCGATTCATCTGGTCAATTCGGATAGGATAAGCCCCTAGACCCTGGAATTGGCTTGGGTGGGGGTCGGTTCCAAGAATTTGGAACCAGGCTCTACCTTGTAATAGATTGGGTAGGGTTGGTTCAAGACCGGCTCAAGATCGGTTCCATTCGATTTTGGGTAGAACCTACTCATTTGCTCACCCCTAATTAGGGGTGCAACTTGGGCGGGCCCGGCCCGAGCCTGAATTGACCCAACCCAAAATTTTACATGGGCTGGGCTTGGATTTTCCATCCTTGGGCTGGGCTCAGGCCCAAGAAGTCGGGCTTTTTTATTTTTCAGGCCGGGCTCGAGCCTAGCCCTTAGGTAGCCCAAACCCGACTAATTATATACAATTATACATATATATGTGTATATATGTAAATGTTGCATACATATTTACATATATATACATACATATTTGTATAGATATTTTGCATACATATTTACATACATATATCTATATATGTATAATTTTAGACTAGTTTCATTAATCAACCCGAGCCCGAACAGGACCCGAGTCCAACCCAAATGCATCAAATTACAAGGCGGGCTGGATTCGAATTGGAAAAATTAGGCTTGACCTCGGACTCGAACCTTAAGCCCAAATTTTAGGGTCAGGCCTGGGTTGACTATAAACCCGACCCAATCCGCCACACTTGCACCCTTACCCCTAATACATAGGGTGCGTGAAATACCAACTTTTTTTTTATCGGGCAACCCACATTTGCGATAGCGTTGCGCTGAAATGATTAAATCAAAACCTTAACATTTTGGTGGGGTCATGACAATAAATCAAAGCCCTTCATATATATATATATATATATATTTATGTTTTAGCCCTGCGCCACGACGCTGTCCAATAAAAATGAACTGGGCACTCCGTGAAAGTCAACACCGCTACAAACGAATCAAATTGATTAGGATATTGGTAGATCGGATTTGGATATGTATATTAACTTTATATTTGAATTCGAATTGAAATTTATCCATATAAGGGTGTATTGTGTTTAAAATGATAAAAAATTAAAAGTAAAAAACTTATTTATTTTTAATTTATAATATATATAAATATTAAATATTAAATTTATCAATTATAAGTATATAATTGTATTATATATACACATAAAATAATAATTTTTTAAAGTAAAAGACTAAAACACACCTTAAATTTTCATAAATTAATTTAAACATACCCTAAAATTTTTAAATAGAATTAAATACTCCACTGGACTTAAACATACCTCCATCAATTAAACAATTCATCTAAAATTTTTAACATTCTATATTTAGAAGAAGAAGAAAGTTAAGTTGAGTGAAGTAGAAAAGGTTCAGATAAGAATTTATTTGTCAACCAGTTTCTTTGTTAATGAGAGTCTTCTAAATTCTCATCATTGATTTCACAGGTTGACGTTTAATTACTCTTTTCTTGCGACTTTTTATTTATTATTATAAAAGCTAATCCGTAATTCGATTCCAAAATCCTATAGTTCGATCTTGGATAGATCTGTTCATGGGCTGGGTGGCCCGACGGGCCGGCTCAGCCCGGCCTGACCCCCGGACGGGCTTGAACAGGTTTTTTGGACCACGCGGGCTTAACCTTGGGCCAAAAAGCCCGGCTCGTATAAAATTTGAACCAGGTTCGGGCTTTGCCAAAATAGCCTAGCCCGAGCCCGGCTTGGCCCGACCTATAGTTAAACCTAAGTAAAAACCCTATGTGATGTCTATTTGAATAAATTTTTTGATTTGAGAAGGTCATTGATTCACTTGTAGGCTCATTGTTCATTTAAATAGGGGAAAAAAACATCTAAATTAAAATAGAAAATGTCCATTTGAATAGGGAAAATTTTGAATTTCTTTTATTAGATCAGGCTTCGGGCTCGGGCTCGGGCTTCGGGCTTTTTATCAGGGCCGGGCTCGGGCCCAAGTTATAGGCCCATTGGTCGGGCTAGGCTCGGGTTCGGGCTCGGGCTCGAGCCTAACAGTTTTCTGTTAATAAATAATCAAAGCCCGGCCCGGCCCATGAACAGGTCTAATCCTGGACCATTGGTTGGTAATATCATAGATAAAAGGATGGTCATTGAAAAAGTGGCTATTAATGCTCACTCTAAAACTAGAGTTCATCCATGCCTCATGATACTGTTGAGGAGACGGATCGAGCAGCTGTCTAATCCATTTACCTGCATCATATCAGAGAAAGAAGCAATTTTTTCTTCTCATGATCCAATGGAAACAATGAATAAGAGTCATAAACAAGGTTTACTTCCAGCGTAGTGCCCATTTCAGTTCTGAAACCACCATTTGTAGAAAAGACATCCGGTTGTGAGTTGATTGGAGAGTTGGGGATGATATTGAGTTGTTCTAGACCGATTTGAAAATTTCAGGGTAGGTTTTAAAAATTTAAAAGAAAATAAGGATAAAAGTCACAAGATATTTAAAAAAAAAAACTCAAGGTACGTTTAACTCATTTTAAAAAAACTCAGGGTATATCTAATTCTTTTACCCAATTTTTTATCGGACTTAAATTTTAATCAAATTGGATGGGGTTGAATTTTCATCAAATCTGATTATTAATCTGATGCAAATTTTAACATCCAAATCTGCAGGCATAGTGGTTCCTGACTTGAATGGAAGCCACATGCGCTCAATGTTCATTAGTAGAGCCATTAATTGTATAATTTTCCGGAGAATCAGAATAATACATATAGTTACCCGGGTAAGTGTTTCTCAAGTAGTACTTGCCCAAGTAAGTGAACTTAGATAAATAGCTTTCTAAAAAAAGAATGAGGCTTTAAGTTATGGAAACCCTAAAAGGAATTCACACTCCCCAATTCACCTATCTCCCTATATATAAGATATAGAGATCTCTAAAATAATAGTAATTCCAAATTCTAGAGTAAAAAAGGGAAAATTCCCAATTAGTACCTTGTACTTTGGGCCTAGTGCCACTTTACCTAAACTTTAAAATGCGACAATTAAGTACTTGAATTTTCAAAGCATGATAAATCATTACCTACTGTTAATTTACCGCTAACCAGCCATTAAATGG